GGATCTGAACATCTTTCTACACCCTCTGCAAGTATAGACTCCTAGAACTTAGATTTCACCACCTCCCTGGATCTCAAGACTCAAAACCTCTAAACCTCCATCTTTAGGTCTGTCGTTTTCTAGACCTCTACACCTGCAGATCCGTCTGGATCTCCAGGCCTCTGGATCTTTGTAGATGTAGACCTCTCTGCATCTCAACCGTGATCTCTCTGAATTTCACGATGGCTCACAAAACCACAAGACCTGTGGATGGCTCACAAAAGGTCTGCTATGTTGGAATGGCACCTTCCTCCTCCAAAGTTTATGCTGACAACAGGTCTGCTCCTGTAAATTTTGCACTCGCGTGGCTCACAAAAGGTCTACTGCTCCTCTAAATTTTGCTCGCAAAAGGTCTGCTACCTTGGCGTGGCACCTAGAGTTTATCCCCGGGTGGCTCACAATAGGCCTGCTACGTCGGAATAGCAAGTTCTACCCTTGCGTTGCTCACAAAACAAAGGCCTGCTACGTTGGAATATCAACTTCTTCCTCCAAGTTTTAACCTCGCAAGGCTAACAAAAGGTCTGCAACGTTGGAATGGCTCCTTCCTCTTCAAAATTTTGCCCTCAGGTGGCTCACAAAAGGTTTGCTACCTTGGAATGGCACTTTCTTCGTCTAAATTTTACCGTCAGGGTGGCTCACAAAAAAGGGTGTGCTACGTCTGGCAATAAAATGTCTGCTACGGTGCTTCACAGGATGTATGACCAGATTTCCAAATCACCTTTAACGCGTCTTGCCTCGAAAGTACAGACCCAAGGACCCGAAGACCAGGACGAAGGACCAGAGGACCAAGGGACCAGAGGACCAAGGGACCAGAGGACCAAGGGACCAGAGGGACCAAGGGACCAGGGGACCAAGGGACCAGAGGACCAAGGGACCAAGCGACCAGGGAACCAGCAGACCAGGACCAAAGGAGTAGGGGGAATTTTATGTTTGATACGAATTAATGGGTTTTCTCCAGGGAGGCCTGGTACAAGTACAACCACACCAGCACGAATGAACATCACAAGCCACGTGTCAACAATAGCAGCACCAGCACCAAGGTTTGCCAATGCAATTGTGTTTGCCGAACTGAATGGACCTTGCGCAGGTGGAGTCTTAGTTTGTCCAGCTTTGTCTCAGCAAAAATTCAGTTGGCGGTCAAAGAGGCCGTTTTCTTTCACAAGTGCCGTTTGGTGACTACACTGCAGTTTGCCAAACAAATTGATTGATCGGATTTGATCGGATTTGGTGGTCAAGTCGTAGGTGGGGAAAGCATCCAAGCCTTGATGGACATGCTGCACCGCTTGCAGAGCACGGAAACCTGAGGACCTTGGGCCTCGCCTGAAACACATCTCCCTTCAACATCCTGTCAACATCCTTTGCAAACCTGCTTCTCATGATGGTCCCACTTCAACACCGCCGAGCTGAGGTGATAGGGGGCACTCCTGCACCACGCGTCTCCTTCCCCAAGAGCTGCCTGGCCTGGATCGAGCTCTTCCCCACCTTGGTGTGGTTGTGCACTGGTGGGATGCCATGAACCTCACCTCCGAGATCTCCGACCTTTTGGCAAATGACTCACTCGACCCCGAACTGGTCGTGGATGATGACTCCCAGCGCTCCCAGGTGCAGGTGGGGTACGAGTAAGATGTTCTGGGTTAGCCCCAACCCCCAGAATCAGCGGCGTGCCTTCCACACGCGCCACCGAGACGAGATGAACGAATGAACTACTCAGTATAAGCATCAGTTTTTCAAAGCATCCTTTTGCTTACTTAAGCTTACTCCCCCCAAAAAAGAATCCACCGAACGATACCGTCATGGAGACCGACCCTCCCCGGTGCTCGTTCTCCACCGACCTCCCCCGGCGACCACCGGTACCCGGTGCCGCTGGGAGTGACCTCGGACGTCCGAAAAGGGTGAGAACGTGGAGGATGAAAGGAGGGGAAGATCTGTGTAAATCAAGCTTTTCTACCTGGAGTCACAGGGAGTTGGGTATGTTGGGTGGTGTTTAGTCCCTAAGTTCAGTGAGTGGAATGTGACAAGGGCACTCCAAACCTCCATGGATAGCACCCCGACATGTGACTGCTGGTAGAGTGAAACACGGTGAAAAAAAACACAACAAATGAACTTCTTAAGAGATTTTTTTAGCCAAAAACAGATCTTCTCAGCCGCACATTGGCTAAAACCCAAACCATTTCAGCACGTCGAGGGCGAATCGGTGAGGATTTGAAGGCATGCCATGCTCACACCGATGTCAGTGGACCGAGCCACGAAACAAAGAGGCCGAACAGAGGCCGCGAGCGAAACACATGCGCCGAGTTCGAAGCGCTCACAATGATAGAAGCCCCCAGCCATGGTTGCACATCACTCATCACATGTACATCATATCAACATTGAGGACCAGTCACCTGCCAAGACTGAAACCCCGCATGTAGGATCATGTAGGGCATAAGAACACCCATCCTGTGGTCCAAAAACGGGTCGAACTGATTCTCGACATAATGCGGATGATGCTACGCCACTGTGCCTGATCGGCTGAGTGTGAGTTGACCTTCAGATCTGCACCTTATCGCAGAAGGAATCACGGGGTGTTCTGCGCTTGGAACGCTAGAGCTGGGAGACTTCGGACCGGCCAACCGGAACGCCCCTCACTCTGAGCGCCCCGGCGGAAAAGCAGTGCGGTTCCGCCGCAGCCGGTGTGAGACCCATGGGCCGGTCTGGGACCCATCCCTGCCCCGCCGGTCTCTGACTCCTTTTCGGCACGGGCCGGGTCAGATTCCGAGTCTGTAAGATGGCCTTCGTCGCAGCAGGCCCTGGCCCCCTTTCAGATCCGTGGTGGGGGTGGGGGAGCTGTTCTAGTGGATGATCAGTTGGACGATCGGTTGGAAGTGAGAGGTGAAGGGAGACCAGGAGTCCGTCGAAAAAGAGAGTGAAAGCAAGATGAATTCCGGGTCGTCGACTCTTGAATAACACAAAGTGATCATTACCTGGTTCTTCGAAGTGACCTTTTGATAACCTGGTTCGGTCACTTAAGCCTCCTACGGGTCACTTAGGAACCTTCAAAAGGTCACGTACTGAAGAAGCTGCTGAACCTTTGTTTGGATCGCACTTCTTTTGGGCGAGCGAGCCTATGGATTTTGAGCAGTTTTTGTAGCGAAGGAAGCCTCTCAGGTACTGGCTGGCTGGACACCACACACACTCCTGGACACCATGAGGATTTTCAATTCGACCCTAAGAATGGTGAAAAATCGTCCTGGCTGGCTGGACGTCTGAACCATGCTCTTTCAGTAGATCCAAAAAGGGGCTCAAACAGGCTACCAAAATTTACCAAGGACCTAAAAAGCTAGTACAACAACGTGCCATGCTGCCTGGAATGCTGGCAGCCTTCCTATGAGGCCTGCTGCAGCTTTCACCTGTCGAGGCTTAAAACGCGTTTGCTGCCCACATTCCAGTCACAAGGATTGTCGTGTCACTAGTTGTGGGCCGCAGCTGAATTCCTCCGAATTCCGGCGATCCTTTCGCAGCGTTCTGTGGCGCTGCATCTCTTCCGCAGCCGGCTGTCGGCGCTGCCGCCTCCCAGTGCCATGCCGAATTCTCTGGCAACGATGGGGACAAGGACTGTGGGAGCTTTCTTCAGGTCATCGGCGCTGCAGCTGGAGAGGCGGCCCGGCAAAAAGGATGCGATATCTCATCATTAATTATGATATCTTGGGCGTATGAGCTCGCGCAACGGCTGGACATTCGGCCATCTGCCACTATCCATTCGGCCGCACAGCTATGCCCTTTCGCGCGCAGTTGCTGGGCAGGAGTTCCAATGCCCTTGATGTCCAAGTGTGAAATCCCATCTACCACTACTACAGCGTGACCATGGCCCTATAACATACGACACTATTCAAGCCCGCTGGTAAATGAATGTAAACTTGGACTTGCTTAAGGAACCTGGATCCCAAACAAGAAACTATTCCCCGGGATTTAATCATAGGGAAAATACCCAGTCACCTTAAGCATCTTAAGCAAATCTAGGCTCAAAAATGGGTACAACTTCTACTGTAGGTTGCATGTTGTTTGCCTCTTCGCCACCATGAGATCTTGCCAAAACCTCTGTCGCACAACGTTTCATCCAACGGGTATGTGTGGCACCTTGTTGAGTGTGGCACGTGGGCTTGTTGCCCCAAAACTGGATCAGCCGCTGGATTAGGCGCTGTTTGTTGGTTTTCTCCGTCGAACCCAAGGAATCAACTGGATGTCTGATAAAAGCTCCTTAAGAAGGGTTAAGGGGTGTCCATTAACCACGCCTGGCACCGGGGGCCCTGGTAGTTGTTGTCATGCCGTGCCATCGTCCAACTGGACGCTCCACAACTTGCCTCATTCACATCTTCTCAGCTTCTCAGCTTCTCATTCAGGTGCAGTCCCTGGAACCAGACACCGTGAATTCACTGGGTTCTGCTATGTTTCTGGGATGAATTCCTAGATCAAGATCTACATGCCTTTGATCCACGAAGCTGTAAGTTTGTACAGCCCTACCGAGCCCGAAAGCGGATCGAACGAACGGGACGGGCCACCGAAAGCACTGTGCCTGCCCACTCTGCGAGCCAGTCATGCAGGCTACATATAGGGCTGTGGATATCGGAGAAACTGCTTAATCAAAGCCACTAACATGAAAGACTTGCAGCAAATGCAACAGTTGCTCTAGCATAGCAATCCTCGGTACCCATCATCGCTTTCCTGGCTGCGTGCCTCTGAGATTTGGCCACCATTCAGCGGGATCAACCACTGCGCGGGGCTTGCTTAGGGAGGGAGACCAGCAAGTTGCTCAAAGACCAAGAACATCACAGGATGTCACAGTGCATGCACGCAGCTGGCATACTCGTTGGGAAGGGCGTCCTCACTTTGAGAGTTTCCATGTTGCCTTCGCAATATTGTGCAATTGACTGTATATCTTTGAGAGGACCCAGGCCACAATTCCCTAGTGCATTCACCAAAGACCCCATCCAAACACAGCCCTGGCCCCTAACGCAGCCCCGGCCCCGCTCTAACGCAGCCCTGGCCCCTGCTCGAAACATGTGCCGCCATCGTGCCAGGCACGCTGGTTTCATCGGTGCTTTCTCCGTGCCACAGCCCCCAAAACCGTCCTACGGCAGGAGGAGCAGGACACTTTGGACGACATACACGCCCACGCTTCGGATTAAATGGTGCCTGCCTCCTCTGTGAACCAAAACTGCGAAAAAAAAAAAAAAACAGCTGTCCGCCCTGTACATGAAGCCACAGCAGTCAAGGTGAACACCGGCCTGGCTGTGCGGTGAAAAACCTTTCGAGATATGGAAATGCCGCCTTGGAGGAATCTGAATGGAACCCTCTGAGTCGTCGAAATCCTAAATTTATATTAGAGCACGCTATTTAACATATAGTAATACAATCTCTGAATATATATTGTTATATATACAATGCATTAAAATGCTGTAAGCAATTCCAAAATGTTCATCATCCTATCTGCTTTTGGGACACCCCAAAGCGAGCAATTCTGACATTACCGAAAATCCAACCTCAAGAAGACGCCATTTCAAAGGGATGAAACAAGGCTGTGGCTATACCAAATGCTCACACCAGCCCCCCCAAAAAACAACCTACAATCTCGACATATTCTCGAATCATTTTTCTTCCAATCAGGTTGGAACCTGCTCTTCGGTTTCTTGGGTCTTTGGAGAAACTTCAATTCTCTGGGACCCTTCATCTCGCAGCCGCTGCGTTCTTTTGACAAGACTGCATCGACCGGAACCTGGAGCAGAAGGGCCCATTCTTCAGGCGCCACCCACCCAAGGCCTCGTGGCGTATGCGGTACACAGCAGTCCGTCGACTCAGAGGGTGGGTGGTTTACTCAGGAATGTCGCTGACAAACCTCACCAGTGGGATCAGGTGGGAAGCTCACAGGTGGGATCAGGTGGGTCTGTATTGAAATTGGGTGGCCCCAGCAGTTTGGGTATCCTCCAAAAGTGAAAATGGGCTAAAACTCTTTGAGGGACTCCCGGGATCTCCTGATTCTTAGACACCCCAAGGCTCTGTGGATGATGTTTTCTACTAACTCTATCAATCGTTTTCGTGAGGAATCATGGGGTTCGCAGTATTGCCGCGTGGTTTGTTCGTCACATCGACACCAGGCGAAGCCCGAAGATGTCGACACATTGTCGAACCCGAGTTGTGCTCCAACGAGATCTTGAATTTGGCACTAGGATTCGAACAACCGTTGTTTGAATGGTCTGAATCCTAAAGAACCATGGTTTTTACTAAGGATTTGTACACTACACCATGCTACACCACGAAGTCCGTCTCACTCTTTTGAGAATCTTTGAAGGCGATTTTGCCGGCTTCAGTGGCTTCACTACCACAAGTCACAAGCCGAGGGTGAGTCAGCAACTGGGATCTGCCAAATGCGACAAAAACCCGGACAGGTGACCCCTTGGTATCCTTTGATTTGCTCAAGGAATCGGGAAAAAAACCGTGGCCAAATTGATACACGTGTTCATAGATTTGGGAGCCTGGATGGATGCTACAGTACAAGCCATTCGAAAACAAAAACAGACCTCCCTTTCGGCATTTGCGGATTGATCTAGATCTTCCTTCTTGGGAAGGCTGCCCAGGCGAGGGGCCTGCACAAGAAATCCTATGCCCGTCTGAAGGAGCAAAAAAAGAACTATAGGTCTCCAACTACCTCGTGAGGTTCGGTGGTTGGGGTGGGTGCCAGGGGGGTCTAACCACCTTCTTTTGAACTGACTAACCCCCTGAGCAATTTGGGAGTTCTTCTCCGGTGGTCGGAGAATGACCGAAACCAACATGACAGGGAGCGATGCTCAACACGTTAAGCCAAGAAGAACTCCAGCATCTCAGTCATGGACCACTTGTGGGGGGGAGGTGGAAACAACACAGTACAGGACCACCATGGCATGCAAGGACCACCATCTCGGATTCGATATAATTCGATATAGAAAGAAAAGGCCGAATGTCCACTTGCCGACGTCGGATGCTATTATTGGGGCCAAGAGTTGTTCTATTGTCCTAGCGGCCATGGTCGTGCTTGACCCCTACATCTCTTATATATATATGATGTATGGAGACTTGTCGATATAAGTTATAATATATGAAATAAATATACATATATATATATATATACACCAGGACCATCCAATGGGTGTCCAATGAACGACCCTACACTATACTTGTAGATGTCCATTGGGATGGTCCAGGTATACATGGACATACATGGACCATGGACGTCTCTCCTACTCCACATCTTCCTCAAATGCACTCTCCCAGGTCGTTACGCCGGTGCACCTGACGTTGTGTCGTGGCATCTCCTGAAGAGAAGCGCAAGAGAAGCACGAATGGTGATTTGTATGACTGCATCACTCGTGTTCAATCCTGGTCTTTTATATGTGTGCATTTCTGAAACAATGTGCGATATATTTAAAAAACTGTGTGAGTGGCCACTCTATATCTGGCATTTGATCATGTTGGTAAACGTTGATCCCCCCATTCTTCTCCGCACTGCCCGCCAGTAGGATGAGTTGAGCGATCGGGGAGTGGCACATAGGCCTGTTGGGATCGTTTTGCCCTGAAACTTTCCGCCTGAAACCGAGCAAGTGATGAATTGCACGACGTACCTTTGCCACTACCCAGAATCCATGCAAGCGTCCTCGAGATTCCGAGGTCAACAACTTCCACTTGTTAGGCTGGATAGGGCAAAGGCCATGTGCCTTGTTTTGCCTACATAACCTATAAATAGATCTATAAATTACTATATATATATAACACACACACACACACACACACACACACACACACACACACACACGCGACGCCTGTATATAAGATTATATAAGTCTTGTCCCAGTCTCCAGCTTGTGCTGGCAATTGAACTCTCAAAGCCATAATCCACTCCTTGTTGGCTAAGGCCGGCAAGTTCTTGCCCTCTGAAACCCCTGGCAGGCGAACACGGCTGGCAAACAGAGCTGGTACGATCTGCTGATGGAATTTCTGTGGGTCCCCTGTGGTGATGCGATTGTGGCATCAAGCCTCACCAAAAGGCGGAAGACGTTGGACTCTCCCACGTCCGAACTCCTGGGCCCATATGCCAGGCATTGCCAGGAATGGGTGTCATCACACTGTACCCGGACACTCCATGGGACCTGCCAGCTTTGGCGAGAACAGTTGGGGTGGTGGTGGTGCTGTTTTTGTATGGCATATATTCCAGTCCCATGGAGTTTTTCCAGTCCCATGGAGTTTTTGGGCATCACTCTACTAAACCCAACTGGTTCCAAAGGACCCATTGTCAGGCCGTCTACGGCACCCGTAAGGCTGGAGGTCGTCCAGGATCCCACTCATGGAGGTCGTCTGCTTGGACATGCTTGGACGGTTTGACCGGTTACTTGGACCTCATTTTACGGAAGTTGATCGTACAAACACACTAATTCAATTAATTCAATGAGGTTTTTCAGGAGCTGGGGCCAGGCTGGGCCAGTCTGGACGCAAATCAGACCTGCCGCGGCCGAAGAAGCCGCCCCACGGACTTTCTGGCTCGGTCTCCGGGGCCGGTGACCCGCGGTTCCAGCGTTCGCCCGTTGCAGCCGGTTCGAAGTCGTGTGATCTGGAGGCGAGTCGGGGCGAGTTGGAGAACTGGGTGGAGATCCTTCGTGATGTTTCATGTGAGTTCCGATGCAGAACCCCCTGCCAATGCCTAGCAGTATATGTTTATTTTAATGTTTTATGAGTCACTCCATCATTTGCACGGATCTGGTCAGCATTCTCGATCTCCGTGGATCTGGTCTTGGGGGGGTTCGATCTCGAGGTCCTTCGATCTCGCCGCAGGTCAGTCCGTGGATCGGTCGGCTCCAAGCATGTCCAATCGTCCGAGTTGAGCCCGTAACTCGACACGACCGATGGGGACTGCCGTTTCGAACAAAACGGCCAGGGGTGGTTGATTGGGGGTCAATGTATGGCATATATGGCATGCATGGAGTGTCTGGGACTTATTCATGGAACTTAGCTTTCCCAGGTGAGGGACCTCATGGACTGAATCCGGACACAAAAACGGACATACAACAAAAACTGTGCTCCATGAGTTCACGGACCAGGTGTTACTATTTTCCTTGGACCGGCACTGATGTTCGCACGAGTCTGTCAAACGACTCACACCTTCCAAGGTAGAGGAGGACATGACTCCCCTCCCTGCATCTCCAAAGGAATGCTCACGAGCCCACGAGGTGCATCCACTTCCTGCGAAATCCACGCCAAGCTGTTCGACCAACAGCTCACCTGTTCCACCCAGATCACTTCTATAGGATGCATCATCACACCGTAACACACGTATGCATTTCACCACGGCCCCCTGAAGCCACCCTCACCTCCGCAAGCTCAGTCTCGTGCTCCTCCACCTCCTGACGGTGGGTGCGAAGCAATTGGCGAAACCTGCGACACCCAGTCTCAGTGAGACCAAGTGGTGGATTGGATCAGCCCCGGTTTCGTTTCCTATGGTTTTTGCATGCAACCATCGAAAACAACCTGGTAGATCCGCGGAAAGGGGCCCTTTTTTCAGCGAACGAGTTTTGCTGGAGCTACCCTCCAGTCATCGGTAAAGACTGGAACGTCGCCGAAGACCCCCCGCAACGGATGGCGCGAAGACTGGGTCCCTTGGTCCGATGAAATGAAGAACGAAACGCCGAGCGGGGCGGGGTCCGGAGTGAGAGTGGAACACAAACAGGACCCTTTGTATCCCTTTGTGGACTGGAGGTCCGTGTGAAATAGCTGGTAATTAGCGTGCAGTAAATTCAGTGCAAGCAGGGTCGTCATTTGGAAGTTCGGGTTGGAAGATCCAATTCGTCTCCAACTAATTGATGTAGATTCTTGATAAATTAATTAATGAAACCCCCGATTGAATTGGAAATTCCTCTTCATATGGGGTGTTTATTTATCAATATAGTCTACATATGTCTATACATTCATTAATTAATAGTAAGAGGGCCTACAAGGGATCAACATGGGCCCAAGTCCGTTGCGAGCATTTTCCGTGTTGAATCTGATCAATTGATTGAGTCAGCATCACGAGTTGCCGCGTGGAGAGCGTTGTGCATGTTGTGCGAATGACGAAGTACAGAAAAACACCATGTCTTTGGGGAAGAAACTGCCAAGCACAACATAACACAACTATGTTACAAACGACGCAACATTAAATACAAACAAAGACATTTGCCCTTAAATCTTTCGTATCTAAACATCGTGTGTGAGCCTTGTCTGTCTTCTGGGCACAATCTGTGAGGTGCACGCCTCCCCCGCCGATTCGCCTTGAACAAGTCCATCACTGACGTGAGGGGCACATCAGACGCGTGGCTGCGCGGCGCTTCAGAAGGGGGTCGCGCCACCGTGCTCCTGTGGAATTTGGTTGTGGGATGCTGTGGGGCATCGCACCGGGGGACCTTGGTTGACCACCAAATGAACAGAATAGACATGAATAGACTACGAGGGGCCGGGGCACTGTTTTGGGGTCCAGGTTTTTGACCCAAACTCCCCGACTCCCATCTCTTTATCTGAAACAGCTTGGGGACCCAATGCAAGCCGGGACTGGGGACAATCCCGGTGCAACCTCAAGTTGGAGGACCTCAAGACTTCTGCAAGATTGTTTAGTTATTATGTCGAGTCGAGTTGCGAATGATCATCCTGAAGCTTCTGGATGATTTCCATGGTGAGGTTGATTGGAGCGCGGTCGTGTTCTGAGGATCCTACCATGAGGCCATCATCATCTCCATCACCCTGGGCTTCCAACGTCTAACCCCTAGGGATCCAAGTACCTTCTCAGAAGGTGATTGGAGACACTGTTATGTAACTATGTAGGTTTGGAGTGTCCAAGTACCTTCTCAAAGTACCTTCTCAGAAGGTACTTGGACCCCTAGAGAACTGCAGTGTGTTTTGATGTTCTTTTGCCTTCAGATGTTGGACGGACTTCTTGGCCGACGCCTACCGCAACGGCCGAGAAGTCCTGGCCAGTCCTGAAACTGAACCATCTCCAAACAGTCTTACCTCTCTACCAGAACCCTCCAACAGGTCGCCACCAACTTTTAAGTCTTCCCAAAACTTAGAACTCTTCAAATGCAAACCTCTTCCAGAATTCTTCTCTATTGGCTTCTTTTTGGACACCCCTTAGTGCCACCTCTTCTCTCTTCTTCCGATTTCGCTCCAGGGAGGCTACTCCCGGAAGGACCGTTTCGCCGCTCCTGCTCGCCCGGCGCGTCCGATTCCACGGAGTCGGCGCGACTCCGGGCACGACGCCTGGAGTCGGAGTCGGCGGTTTCGTGAGGACCATGGATATGTTTGTTCTTACCATCGAGTATATATGAAAATGTATATGGACGCTCAAAGCTCGGCCGCTCGCGCTTATTTCCCTTGAGCCAAAAGTCGGGGTACGTGTATAGTATGTACATACCCTACATCCAAACACCCCTCCTAAGATTCTTCTGCTTTGCAGATGAATCTTCACTCCACGGCTTTTGCAGCCGAGCTCTTGCCGGTCTTTGCGTACTGGCCCAAGGCATGCATGTGCTTCCAACAGGTCTCCGCGCTCAAAGGCTTGGTGCACAAGTCGGCAACGTTCTTGTCGGTGCCCACTGCGACCAACTCGAACTCTTTCTCTTTGAGCTTCTGTTGAACCCACAAGTAGCGGGTCTGTACATGCCTTGTTTTGCCTAGCCCGCGTCGACTGCACATTCCTCTGGCTGCACTGGAGTCTGAGAGAACCATGCAGTCCAACTCAACTCCCCATTCTCGGAACAATTCTCGTATCCCGAGCACTGATGCCGTTGCTTTAACGATGGCGTAATACTCCGATTCGCCCGAAGACAACGATATCGTCGTTTGCAGAGTTGATGAAGACTTCAAGGTATGTTGTCCACACATCAAGACCAGTCCGGTGGTGGACTTTCTCGTGCGAACGCATCCAGCATGGTCACTGTCTGTGAAAGCTCGGATCTTGGTGTACATCCGTTGTGGTTTGAACTCTTGAACAACTCTGGGTTTGCCTAGCAGGTATCTGCCCAAGCGTTTCAATCTTGCCCAAGAATCTTCGTCGGGAACGGACGTAGACCTTGCCAATGTTTTCACAGCTTCACATAGATCTCCTCTGTCTAGGCTCAAATAGGCTGCTCTCATCACCAATGATCTGTAGATCTTTGCTTGTTCATGATTTAAAGGCGGCGTTTCAATGAACGCCTCTTCCCCTGTTTGCTTTGTCGATGGTGTGCTCACTTCTCGAGCGCCTTCTAGCTGCAATTGTTTCACAATGATCTCTGCGTGTCTAGGATCAGCTTCGTATGTCAACGTCCCTGTGGACTTGTTGTATTCCAAAATCCTATTGAGCACGCTCATCACCGTGCCATCTGACTCTTCAGGTCCGACGCATCCGTCGACACGAAATTCGAACTTCTTTGCCAAAATGGTGGCAATCCGCTTTTGTGCATCCTCATCTCCTAAAATCAAGAAATCATCTCCATGCACAAGAAATCTCGCGTCTGATTGCGTGTCATAGAATATCGACGGCCATGCCGTTCCAGCTTGAATGCCGTGTTCTTGAAGCAATTCACTGTAGGTTGCTTGCCAAATTGATGCTGCATCTTGCGTCCCGTACATCGTTTTGACAAGACGGGCACAATGACCAGGCGTCTCATCTCCTTCAGGCAATGTGCAATACACAGCTCGTTGAGAATCACCATAAAAATGAGCACGGCTTATGTCCAGCAACTTGAGCTTGAGCACTTTTCCACGCCGGCTGACCTTCATTGAAGTCATGAGTGAACAAAGTGCCTTGAGTGCCTCGAGTGGAGGCATTGCTGAGAAGCTCTCACATTCTGGAACAGTCTGACCTGGTTTCTTGACTTCTCTGACCACCAAGCGACTTCTGTAGTTTTCTTTCACATTGTCTCCTTTGTTCTTATCC